GTACACATATTGTTTTATGACATTGGTTAACAACCCCACGACATGTCAACTCTCTCTCTTCTCAACCTTTTTTTTGTGTGTGAAAATATACATAGCCAAAGATACACCATTTCAAAAATTTCTGCATGCACAGTTCAGTGACATTGATTACGTTCTTCCAATTGTGCTGCTGTTCTCACTTTAGATGAAGGTTTACAGAACAAAATAGTTTCTCATTAAACAGTACACATGTTGCCCTATGACAATGGTTAACAACCTCACATCAACACTATCCTTACTCAACCTTGGGTTCCCTATCACCAGCTTTCCTGTTCCCTTCTGCCGTCTAGTCCTTGTCCCTGGACTGCAACAACAGCAGCTTTTATATGTTGGTTAACACATAAGAGACCAATGCACTTTTTTTTTTTTTTTTTTTTAAATTCTCTCTTCTGTTAAAAGGTGAGATGATCTAAGAATGCTCCCAACTATTTGCTTATTCCAAATCACTTGGAGTATGGATAAACCTAACAAGCTTCCTCCCAGGGCTTGATAGGTTGCATCTTCCACACCAGACACCACTGTTCCCCGGAGGAGGGCACCCAGTCCTGAGACCCTGGGCTTTCTATTCCTTGGTTACCTGCTAGCTGAGGTCTGGAAATGTAAGGACATCTGACTATTAAAACTATGTTTACTATTTGGTGAGAAACACACACACACACACACACACACACACACACACACCCCTTTATATTTGATAGCAATTTTGTTGTTGTTAGTTGCCGTCGAGTCAATCTCAATTCAGGGAGACCCCATGTGTTGCAGAGTAGAACTACTCCACAGGGTTTTCAAGACTGTGGCCTTTTGGAAGCAGATCACCAGGCCTGTCTTCCAAGACACCTCTGGGTGGGTTCAAACCGCCAATCTTTTGGCTTGTCTTTCAGCTAGTAATCAAGCACAGCCATTTGCGCCACTCAGGGGCTCCTAAAAAAATAAAAATAATACTTCCACAGGCATTGTTTCATTTGATCTTATATGCAAGGAATTAAGAGTTCTAAACATTATGTAAGGCCCGTCAGTGGCACAAACAATTTGCACTCGACTGCTAACCTAAAGGTTGGTGAGTCAAACACACCCAACAGTGCTGTGGAAGAAACGGCCTGGCAATCTGCTTCTGTTAAGGTTGTCATTGGATGAAAAGCCTGGTGATCTACTTCTGAAAAATTAGCCACTAATAACCCCGTGGAACACAGATCTACTCTGACACCCATGGGGTCACCATGAGTTGGAGTCTACTTGATGGCACTGGGATGGCAAACCATACCCCCAAGGCACTGAGATATTAACATAAAAACGGGCCAAGAATTGTTGAAACTACTAGGCTCTGGGCAGAGGAGAAGCAAATCCACATCTCCCAGACCAGGGAATAGCAGAGTCCCACAGAGAACAACCCTTGGTGAAGACAAAGAGCTCATAGGAAAGTTTTACAAATGACCCAAGGAAATGGATCATGCAACAAACACAGTTTTTTTTTTTTTAAGGAGAATCTGTATCCTAGGAACAATCTGAAATAAAGTGTTCAAGGAAGCATGTTTAAGATGCTAAGGAGCTAACAAAAGGAATAGAGGCCGTAAGACATGAACAAGATGGTATGAAAAATGAAGAGGCAGAGTAGAAAACAAACCAAAATAATAGAAATGAAAAATATACAATTTAAATGGTGCAATCAGTGTCTGTATTGTTATGTATCTGGCTTTTTTCCCTTTATATTATATAATAAACATTTACTTGTTGCTACAAAAAAAAAAAAGGTTGTTGTTGGGTGCCACTGAGGCGGGTCCAACTCATAGCGACCCCATGTGACACAGTAGAAATTACAGCCAAGAAAACCCTGTGGAGCAGTTCTACTCTGTAACACATGGGTTCTCCATGAGTTAGAATTGACTCCATGGCAACTAACAATAACAACAGCAAAACATTGTGTGGGTGTGTCTGAGAGATAATATCTTTAAAAATAGTTTGAAAGCGCCAAAGTCATATCTTTCTCTGCATGATTTATTGTAAGTACTAAAGGGTTAATGCAACCCAGAGTGGCTCCAGGTTAATAAAGCAACCCTGTGTTCTGACGTATTTGTCTTCTCAGTCAGTCAGTATTTCCTGAGCACTGCTTATGTGTAGGTCATTGCCACAGGCACTGAATAGGACCCAAAGATAAGAAACGAACCCTGTCCTTAATAAGCCTCTAAGGTGGTAGTTCAGTGGTAGAATTCTTCCCTTCCATGTAGAAGACCCAGGTTCAATCCCCAGCCAATGCACCTCAAGTGCAGCTACCATCTGTCCTGTGAGTAGAGGCTTGCATGTTGCTGTAATGTTGAAGACATTTCAGCAGAGCTTCTAGACTAAGACAAAGAAGAAAGGCTTGGCAATCTACTTCTGAAAATCAGCCATTGAAAACCCTATGGATCACAACAGTCCCATCGCAGATGATCATAGGGATGGCACAGGACTGGGAAGCATTTTATTCCGTTGTGCATGGGGTCACCATGACAGCAGCTGACAACATGGTCTAGTAAAGAAAGTGATATGTGTGCAAAGGAATTGTTAGAGAAGATTGAATGTCATGAGAGCAGGCATAACCTGTGGAACTCGAGGGTAGAGGACACCAGGGGTGCTTAGTGGAGGAGCTAGCTTTTGACTTCATCAGCTGATAGGTTCAAACTGCTGGTTTGTTTTCTTCATGGAGTTGACTGGCTGTATGACTAGAAACACAAAATCGACCATTTATTTATTATGTGTATAGAGCATGAGGTGTCTAGAAATTCTTAGAAATTAGAATTGACTGCACTGTGATCACTGTAATTCCATATGCAACAATTATTATCACAGAGCCTTCTTTTCCTAAATCTGAAATGAGGACGTTCTTACCACAGGGCCAGGAAACCTCCCTCTCTGTTTGAGTTTTCCTTTCTGAATCAAATACTTCTGATAAATCCAGACATGGTTCTGACTTACTCCTTTCTCCTTTTCCTTCAAAACAAAATCCAGTGGAGATCTCGGATTCGGCTCCCCCCACGCCCCTGGTGAAAGAAGCCATGAAGAGGTTCTCCACGCCGGACGCTGCCCCTGTGTCAACAGAACCAGCCTGGCTGGCTTTGGCCAAAAGGAAAGCCAAGGCCTGGAGCGATTGTCCACAGATTATTAAGTAAAGAAGGACTCTTATCCATTCCTGTTGCCTGTTTTTGGCTTCTCTCTTGCCCTTTTCATTTATTTATTTTTTATATAAGGTTTAGGGAAAAAAACCAAGCTAGAAAAAAGAAGCATGTCTCATAGGCTCCAAAATAATGTTTAGAAACTCATCCGGCAGTGTTCATTGTAAAGAGTGTATTCGCACAACCCTAGGTCTTGATGCCTTGAGCTCCTCCTACTTCTAAAGAGAAAATTCCATCCAAGGGACATGAAACAAAATCTCCAAACTAAGAACTCCTGACAAGAGCCTGCCGTGCCCATTCTGTGGTCCTTCCACACCCACACACGACTCAGAACACATGCTTTTGCCAATCTTTGTAATGGGGTTGGTTCGGTTCTCAGCTCCAATTTTTTTACTCCAGAATGTTTACTTACCATCTGTTTGGTGGTTTCTACAGTATTGGGATCGCATATACATGGAAACAAGAATGCCCATTCTCCTGAATACAGTGAGTACCGGGAATCGTGAGGAACAGTCTGGCTCCCAACTCTGCACCCATGTGTGGTTTCTTGAATCTTCCCCATCCTGAAGCTGTATATGAAAGGCAAATCCATTCACACTTCTACAGTGCTGTTGATCCAGTTATTCCAATTCCCTCCTTAAGGACATGTTAAGTACTTGGCCCAACTGGCTCCTGGGGAACACTTACTTTAATTTTGAAGAAAGGAAATTCTGTATCAGCTATAAATTCTCTTTCTGTCTCTAAGAATCCCCATCTAGTGCAGTGGTTCTTCAAGTGACCAGGTTTCACCCCACGCCTACTGAATCAGATCCTGTGAGGACAGGGTCAGGAATGTATATTCTGGCAAAAACTCTTCAGATGAACTCAGCTGTCTCTCAAAGGTTAAGAAGCACTGATACTAATGCATTCTGGTTTTTCCGATTCTGAAGGGGAGGCTCATTTCGCCCAAAGAAGCAAAAGTTAGACAGCAAAAATAATAAAAAACAACCCCCAAACCTACTATTTATTACAAGATAAGAGGGGCTATTGACATTACTTGTCTCTGAAAATGCTCTTAGGTCTTCAGGGAGTGTTAACAGGAAGCCAAGATTGGAGCCCTTGTACTAAGGACTTCCTGCAGGAAGTTTTTTCTTTACCAGAACTTAGTTTTTCATATTTAGAGCCAGTTGTTCAGTAGCGTTTGTAATTTAGAGCATTCACCTTGTTTCCTTTAATAAATATCTCAGAGTTTTAAGTGGCCTTGTTACTCTGCATACAAAGGGACTTGGCAGCTTAAAAGTCACGTATATTCACTTTTTATGGCCCTAAATTGACTTTATGTGAAACATAGACATACCAGCAAACCCACATTTTGCTGATGCTAACTTTCTAATTCATGGTGTTGACAGATTGCTCTTTTCTTAGATTCTGACTCCAAAATATGCATGCAAGTCCTTTGCTGGCGACAGAGGGAATTCCATTCTATTTTTCCTCTCCTACTAAAGCAAATTTTTTTAGTATCCATCATTACTTCCTTTGTGCCTACTCAGTATGCAATGTATTGTTATTCTCTCATATACCCTGAAGGAAGGATGACAGCAAAGTTAGTATTTGTCATATAGAAAACATTTTCTTTCTGTAACAATAGCTCTGCCTCACTGTAGCAGCTGGCAAGTGTGGTCAAACTGGTATTGTACTCTTGCAAGTTGGACTTAATGCTATATATATTGGACTCTCAGACTGTTAAGAATCAATGTAACTTTTTTTTTATTATTGCTATGGAAAGCCATTAATATTCCACTGCACGTTTTCCACACTAATGCTGATTTGTAAATCTTATATGTAGGCATTCATTTGTTAGTTTCAATGGTTTCCTCACTAATATAACACTTTTTAGTGGGACTCTTTCCTTCTAGAGCCATGGAATTATAGTATTACAGTAATTCTTCTGAATTGACTTTTTCTTTCATCCTGTAAGACTTGGGTAATATCACAGTAATGGCAGAAAGGGGTGATGAGTCAAATCATTAACAAAGAATGGTAGACAGTCAACTCTGCCTGCATAAAAAGTAGAAGAAATACCTCAGTTAAAAATTTTATATCAGCATCTTTAAAAGATGAGCATACTGAGGAGAGGACAGTCGCAGTACTTACTTCCAACAACTTCTAAAGGGTACACATTTAACATTTCATGTAAAAATCACCCCAAATTTGCACTAAATACCAATGAAGTGTTATTTTGCTTTAGTTGTGTTGCAGTCTTTTCTACTCAACAGCCTGGGGAAATTCTGTAAAAACATATGTAAAAATTCAAGGCAGTTTTTTTTTTTTTTTAAATTAATTAATGCTACATTAAACACAAGCTTAACTTTTTTTTTTAAATTTAAACATACATACACTTCTCCCAGCAAGGTTATAGATGATTAACCTCTGTTTATAGACTTATATATAAAACTAGAGTTTTTTTGTTTACTTTTTTAATTTTTCAAGTGCAATTGTTTCTTACACGAGCATTATTACTATTAAATTATAATTTTAGCCAGTTATCAGCAAATGTATAGTATGTATTGTCTCTTCCTGTGATGTTTAGTTTGCTTATTTTAAAGCAGAAACATTAGAATTACAAGTGTCTTGTAATATTTTTTACCAACAATAAAATTTAGAGACTTACAATGAAAATACCTTAGTGTGATTTTAATATTGAGATTTTGGTTGTATAAAGTTTTAATGTAAAATGTCCATTATTGAAGGGAAAAGATCTTTCAATAAAAAATACCCACAAGATCTTCAGCACTGGTGGAGTTTCCTTTTCATGTTAAACTTACTAATTTCAGTGACTCTCTACTAGCAGTCTCATTATATTTATGTCGCTTTTGTGGAACAAGAAAAATTGTCAGGCATTTATATGGTAATTTGTTGTATTTTTCACTGTGTTTTTTTTTTTGTTGTTGAAAAATAACTGTCAGGGGCAAGTAAAATTTTTACCTTGGTCCTAAGTTGGAATTGGGAGTCCCTGAGTGGCACAAATGGTTAAGCGCTTGACTATAACCGAAAGGTTGGTTGTTCAAACCCACCTAGAGGTGCCTAGGAATAAAGGACTGGTGATCTACTTCCAAAAGGTCACAGCCTTGAAAACCCTATGGAGCACAGTCTACTCTGCAACATATGGAGTTGCCAAGAGTCAGAATCAAGTCTGCAGCTTTTTTTTTCAATTAGAATTTAATGGTCTGACTCTGAGACAAAATGATCCTAAAGCCCACCTTACTCAAAGTGTGGGCCATGGACCATTACTGAGTGTTTTGATCAAAGATTTTATAGATGAATCCTGATCAAAAGGTGGAAAATGCAGAACAGAATGTCAAATTCTCATGGAGTCCAGACTTTCTGGAGCTGTTGAGGCTGGATGAACCCCTGAAACTATTGCCCTGAGATAACCTTTGGACCTTAAACCAAGAATATCCCCTGAAGCCTTCTTAAAACCAAACAAGAGTTTAGCTAACTAGTAAAGAATGTCTGTCATGTGCACTGTACTCTTTTAAAGTCTATCTATATGAGATTAAATTGACAACACCAACTCAAAAGATTACATTGGAACCTTAGCGGGTGGTGAGTTTATGTTAATGAGGAGGGAACAATTTGGAAAAGGAGGTGAGAGTGGTTGCACAACTTGAAGAATGTAATCAGTGTCACCGAGTTGTACATGTAAAATGTAGAAAATAACAACGGGTCTACTTTTGGAGATAGATAGTAAAAAAAAAAAAGTGTGAGCCATGGAATAGCTGCATCTGTGTCAACTGAGAGCATGTTAGAAATGTAGAGTTTAGGACCGCCCCCCATCCAATATCTGCTGAATCATGGAGAAGTGAGGCCTCAGGTGCCAAAATACTCAGTAATCAAGATAAATTTTTAATGCAATATATAAAAAATCCAAAATTTATGCAAAAATACTCATGAGTATCAAAATTTGAAATACAGAGTATTACTGGTTTTTCCTTTTGCCTGAAGCTCCAGTGTCCCTCAGCAGCGCCCTGTTCCTGATCGCTGTCCTCACCCTCTCCCAGCCCACATGTGTACTTTAGCAGGTGCTCCAGGTGATCCATAGGCACATTGTTTCCAAAAGCACTGATCTAAAGTAGTTACAAAAATCTGTCCACAAGACCAAATGGGTGGCTCCTGTCAAGAGGCAGGATGAGAAGGCAGGAAGGGACAGGAGCTGGATGGATGGACACAGGAAACCCGAGGTGGAAAGGCGGAGTGCATTATAGGGATTGCAACTAGTGTCACATAACAATATGTGTATAAATTTTTGTATGAGAAATTAACTTGAGCTGTAAACTTTCACCTAAAGCACGTGCACGCACACGCACACGCACACGCACACGCACACGCACACAAAATCTGTCCCAAATATATGCCACTGTTTTTGACTACCCAGCACCTGAATCCCCATTCTATGTTTGGGGGCTTCTCTAACTCATGGGTCTTGGTGAGAGGTATACCCACCTCCCACCACAGAAGACATGCCTGATAAGCGCTTTCCTAGACTTCCTTGAAGGCAAGGGACCTGAGTTCCACTTCGAAGGGATTCTGAATTGGGAGCAACTGATCAAAAGACATGTAGTCCCTGAGTAGAGCAAATGGCTAAGTGCTTAGCTGCTAACTGAAAGACTGGCGGTTCAGGTCCACCAAGAGATGCCTTGGGAGAAAGGCCTGGTGATCTATTTCTACAAAAAGAACCAGCGATTGAAAACCCTATGGAGCACAATTCTACTCAACACACATGTGGTTGCCATGAGTCAGAACCAACTCAACAGCAGCTGGTTCAGTTTTGGCTCTTGGCAGGTGAACTGTGAGGAAGCCTGGCAGCAGCAGCAGCTGCAGCACGGTCACGTTGCTGGAGCAGCAGCAGCAGTGATGCCAGTGGCGGGGAACAGTGTTCATGGTGTCAGCCGTAAGTTGAGCATTTAAAGGTTTAAGAATAGCAGCTGTTCCTTCACCAGGCCAAAATGCTATGGTGCTCTCAGGCATTCATTGTTCCTGGCTACAAATCTCTAACCCTCTTCACAATTCCATGAGCTACTCAATATTCCTCTTAAAAATTCCCTTCTGCTTAGAATAGCCTGACTTGGCTTCTATTACTTGCACCCAAGAACTCTGGCATGCTTGATATTTGAGGTTTTACTGAAGTATAACTGGATAAACTAAATGATACCACAGTTGACTGTACAGACAGGAGAAAGATCAGCAACAAAGTACATTTTTGTTACTTCAACTGCTTAGCAGTGTCTGGGGCGTAATTGTGATTATTACTACTACGAGCGTTGCTGTTGGAAACTCTGGTGGTGTAGTGGTTAAGAGCTATGGCTGCTTACCAAAAGGTTGGCAGTTTGAATCCACCAGGCGCTCCTTGGAAACCCTATGGGGCAATTCTACTCTGTCCTATATGGTCGCTATGAGTCAGAATTGACTCAGCGGCAATGGGTCTGGTTTTTAGTGGTGTTGTTAGGTGCCATTCAAATAGATTTTTGAATTTTACAGTAAACACCTGACAGAGTAGAACGGCCTCATAGAATCTTCTTGGCTGTAATCTTTATGGGAGCAGATCACCAGATCTGTCTCCCGTAGAGCTGCTGAGTGGATTCAAACTGCCAAACTTTTGGTTAGCAGCTGAGCACTTAACCACTGCATCACCAGGGCTCCTTACTACTACTAGTAAACCAAACCAAACCCACTGCCGTCAAGTCAATTCCAACTCATAGCAAACAGGACAGAGCAGAATTGCCCCACAGGGTTTCCAAGGAGCAGCTGGTAGATTTCAACTGCCAACCTTTTGGTTGGCAGCCAAACTCTTAACCACTGCGCCACCAGGGCTCCACTACTACTAGTAGTGGCTAAATTCATAAGCATCATGAGCTATAATATGAAATTTTAAGGAAAATCAAAACATTCATTTTTCGTATATTAAGCATTTTAAGTGATATGGAAAAGAATGACACAATCTCTGTTTCGGTTATCCTTTGCTGCGTAACACACTACCCCAACCTTAGTGCCAGCCCAGAACTCAGTGGCTTAAAACAACTACCATTTTATTATTTCTCATGATTCTGTGGGTCAGGAATTAAATGTCTGGCACCACAGCGAAGACAGCTCAAACAGCTGCAGGTTGGCTGGAATGGCTCAACCAGGGCCATGTGTGTGGGACTCTGGCTGTCACTGTTAACTGAGTTGTTCAGTTCTCAGTGTACACAGGGCTGCTTTCTCACTACATGGCCTCTCCAACAAGCAGCCAGATTTCTTATGTGACAGCCAGGACTCCCAAAATCACAAAAGCAGAAGTTGCCAGAATTTCTCCAGGCTTACTTAGGCTCAAGCATGGTACAGTGTCATCTCCACTGCATCCTATAGGTTAAAGCAAATCATAGGCCAAACCCAGATATAAGGGAATGGGGCTGCAAAAAGGGCACAACGACCAGGAGGTACAGTTTACTGGGGGCCACCAGCTGCCAGACTACCATATCCCCTAGTATCAAAGAGTATATAATCTGATGAGGGAGACTTAATACCAGGCCAATGCAAGCAGGAACAAAGTGCTATATGATGAATGAAGCAGCAATTAAACATTCAGAGAAATCATTATACTTAAAAGTATAGAGTTTTGTTTTGTTTTTTCTTTCCTGGTTTTTGTTGTGTTCCTTACTCCCAAGCCACTGGACCAAAGAAGATGTTACAGCACCAAACTCTAATAAATTGAGAAATATTGTTACACTTGCCATCAAGGGTCAGATATTAAAAATTGAGAAAAGAAGGTACATCAACTTGCAACTATACAGTATAAATATTTTATTCTATGCTGGTATCTTGTTCACTTAAAAATACTAAATGAGGAACCTAATTCAATGAACAGATCCTAACTTTGAAAACTTTTTGTCATGAATCTCACTGTAAATGAGTAAATGGTATGTCACATTACAGACTAAGCTTTTAACTCATTAAGTATACTCTGATCTTTTTTTCCCACAAGGGTCTTTTAAAAGAACACTTGATAACTGTCTATTTCACCTCTTTCAGTTAGAAAATTAGAATATCTGTAGCGTAATTTTAAAAAAGTGCTACTAAATATATTGAGGTATTTAGTTCTCTAAATAGCTCCTCTTAACAGCTTTTGTGGCTCCTAGAAGAAGTAAAATAAGAGTTTCTCCAATAAAATAAACATTTCTTAACAAAAATAAAATTTTTAATATAAAATAAGACTATCCACATAACTCTAAAATTGTAAAATATTTTCAAACATTTCAGATATATGCTAGTAAGGACTGCACCTGATTATTTTTTATTGCCACCCAATAAATCCAGACAATAAACATAATTATTTCTACACCCAATAATAAGTATTGATTCCCAGACCACAGGAGAAGAGAAGACTTCTCCAGGAAGTTCATACACGCTTTGCAACTGTCCACTCTTTGATTCCAAGATCCAGAGTTTCCCATCAGTAGACGCTGCTGCCAACAGTGTTTCATCACTGTAATTGTGGTTCTGGAAAGCAAATGGTGTTGCATATACCCTTGAAGTAGCTTCAAATTTCCATTGGAGGTGTCCTTTCATGTTACAACAGTAGATAAAGCAATCATGGGAACCAAAAAATATCTCTTGCTCTGATGCTGAGGTACATGGGGATGAAAAGATTGGTCCATTGGTAGAGAACTGCCAAACCTGAACAGGGCGATAAAAGCAAAGATCATTCATTCATCTAATTGCAACAATTCTCCCTTGGATTAAAGCTTTAAGAGGCTCTTAATGAAACTGCAAGAGATGCAGGCTATTTTAACAGTAACTACACACAGAGTGTAGAATAAGGACAAGCCAGAATGCTCCTTAGAAGCAAGGGTGCAAGACTTTGTCTCATGTATTTTGGACATGTTATCAGGAAGGAACAGTCTCTGAAGAAGGACATCATGCTTGGTAAGGTAGAGGGTCACTGAAAGAGAGGAAGACCCTCAACAAGATGGACTGACACAGTGGCTGCAGTGAGTCAGAACTGACTCGACAGCACCTAGCAACAACACACAGAGAAAATAGCAGCTTTTTCTGAAAAGTAGCATCCTCATATTAGACTTCTGTTCCAGTGGTACAACCCAGGACAAAATGCACTGGAACGTTACTATTACATGCTTCACTGCTATGTAATATTACAAAGTAAATTAATTTTGCACCCCACTCGAGTTATTACTATTAAGTTCCAAAGACACTGAGCTCAAAGATAAAACTGCATTGAGTTTGATGTACCTTATTAAAAACTGTATCTTACTCTAGTTTCTTGATGTGGAGAGAACAAAGTTAATGGACCAAAAGGAAGAGTTTATGTACAGTACTTAATCAGAGCTTTAAACAAGGCTATGAGTTGTGTGTCTGCCCGGGCGATATATACTATTTGTTTATTTCAAAGCTATTATGGACAAACCTGTCAGCCAAATTTTTACAAAACAGACACAAGGAAGAAAAGACATAAATGTAGGGTAGTATTTACAAATGCACAATAACAGCAGCATAATGAAAACCAAAAACAAAACAGTGGGCATATTCACAAAACAGCATTTGTAATCTCAGTTCCGTCCCTGACTTGGACAATATCATTCTAATCTTTCTATGGCTTATCCAAAAAACTAGGAGTAATATCATTTGTATCTTCTTACTTCTCAGACATGTAATGGTGAGAATACATTCAAATTACTTTGTAAATAAAAATATTAAGTGACTATAATAAAACATTTCATCACAAAGAAATTGTCACACAGAGAAAAAGAACTGCTAAAGCTATGAGGGGTGAATGTAGAATTAAAAGCATACAGGTCAACTGAATCAACACTGGTCATAAACAGACTAACTTATGTTGGTGCTAGCACTCTCAAATCCATAAAATAACCCCTAAAATCAAGTGTACAGCTAAAGCTGGGCCATATAATTGATAGTCACTTGTGGGTATTTAAAGAAGTGGAGATTATGCCTGACCCCAACTGAAAATCTAAAATAACCCAGAAGGAAAGTACATTGTCAGTCATGAAACTGAGGAGTGAGAGCAAAAGTCATGGAATTTTGGTTGCACAACAGATTTTGGTTTTCATATTAAAAAGCAAGGGTTTCTTTAAACTTTCATAACCTTAACAGAAGTTAAATTACAATTGAGTAAAAACTGGTCATATGTTGAAAACTGGGGGAGGGGTGGCAAAAGAAGTATAACAATGTTTGGGTAAAAACCTTTAAAACCTATTAAAGCATTTTAAAATTAAGAAACTTATGGCTTAATAATTAAAAGAGAATTAGTTCACAACACAAAGAGTTGAATAAACATGTTTAAATTTTTACTTTAGTTGTCACCCACACTATGCCTTTGAAAAAGATACGTAAAACTAGAAATTTTCACCTGTTCTCCAAAATGAGTAAAGCAGAGTAAATTCCCATCTACGCAGCCAATACAAATATACTGTAGGCAACAATGTGGAGAAGAGAAGAGTGGTTTTCCACAGAAATGTTTCCAAACTCTATCCCCAGTGGCCTGTCAAGGGCAAAAAGCAATTCATAGCATTAAAATCATTCTAGTAATCAATTACCCTTTATAAAACAAACTTATCCATCTTCCCAAAGGCAGAGCTATAAACATCAGAAAATGCTATAATGGCATGCTGACATTAAAAATGAAGCTCGTACACATAGAAATGAAGCTAGTATACATACACATAACTATAAAACTGATCAGTGCTGTTAAGAGCTAGGATAAAAACTTGCAATAAAACAAGTTAAGAAATAACTAGCATACAAAATCTGTCCTTAGGATGAACATGAAGTTCTTAATATGAATAGATTTTTAAAATTCTGCCAATTTAAAAAATAGATAAAAGGTATGAATGGAAATTCAGATTTTTTCATCTTTCTAAATTTCATGTCAATCATTTTTAATGAATTCTGGTTCAGTCATATCTACTATATATCTGATATTACCAGTACCAATTACCATTGAGTCGATCCCGACTCATTGTGACCCCGTGTGTCAAAGCAGAACTGTGTTCCACAGGGTTTTCAATGGCTGACTTTTAGGAGTAGATCGTCAGGCCTTTCTTCTGAAAAACTTCCTCTGGGTAGACTTGAACTGCCAACCTTTCGGCTAGCAGCTGAACACATTAACTGTTTGCAAGACCCAGGGAATCCATATCTAACTGAAAACTACCACAAATGCTCAGAATTCAAACAAAAAATAAAAGAATATTAAAGAAAAGATAGGTAATAAAATCAGTACATATTATTTTATGCCTACGGGATTTATAGCCAGTAGAAGTCCTCCTAGTGTAGCAAAATATATGTGATGTGGAATCAGGCTCAAACATGGAGAAGAAAAAACAGTTCCTCCACATTTTAACTTCCAAACACATGTCTTTTCCTGCAAAAGAGAAAGCAAATGAATTGTTTTTTGCTCATAGTTAACAAACCATATATTCTATTTAATATAACTTTTAATTTTTATGTAAAAGTAATACATGACCACTGTGGAGAATCAGTATAAGGAAGACAAAAAGCCACCACTCAAGAGATAACCACTGTGAAAAATTGTAGCATCTTCTCTTTTTGGTACATATTAAAAAAAACCCGTTGCCATCAAGTCGATTCCGACTCATAGGACAGAGCAGAACTGCTCCATAGGGTTTCAAAGGAGCTCCTGGTGGATTTGAACTGCCGACCTTTTAGTTAGCAGCCATAGCTCTTAACCACTACGCCACCAGGGTTTCCTTGGTACATATATACGCAATTTAATATAGTTGAGATCATTTTGAATATACAACTTGGCATCTTGTTTCGCTCACTTGTTTTGTAAAACTTTTAAATATAATTTTAATGCATAATATTATTTCATATAAACATAAAATAATTTATCTCTTTCCTTTACTGAACACTGTTAGGATCTCACTTCATGGTATTACAAAGAACTTGAAAATAGGCATCTTGGTGCATATTATTTGTCCACGTTTGTGATTATTTTGTCGGGATACATTCCTAGAAGAAGAATTTTACTAGATCAAAGGACATGAGATTTTTACCTATTGCCAAATTGTTTTTCTTAGAGGCGCCACCAGTTACAACTTGTAACCACTGTCATCAGCATGGCTGAAGCATTCCAGTATCTTTTCTAAACTAATACCATCTGTTTGTCTCAGTTTTTCATTCCTTTGATTATAGAAAGTGTAAAATAGTTAAATATATTTACTAGCCACTTCTTCTTTGGGGACCTGTGTGTTTATGTCCCTTGTTTTTCTTTCTGAATCTTGGTATTTTTCTTATTTATCTGTATTTGCTCTTTTTATTTATACCCATGAGTTTTAACTTTTTGTCACATTAGTTTCAAACATTTTCCCCAACTTGTTTAATTTTATAATCCTTGTCATGTAATTTTTTTTAATGCAATCAGGTCTTATTGATATTTTCTTTGTGATTTTTTTTTTTTCTATTGTCAAGATAATAACTCTAAGCTCTTAACATTTCAAAACTCTGAGCAGCAAATGTATTTATGGAAAATTTGGTAAGGAAGGTAAAAATTTCTTAAGACATAAAGACAATTAACCCCTTGTTCTTCCCAGAGCACACTAAACTTGGGAGATAGTTAACACCTGCTCTCAGAATGAACAGCACCTAACAGTGTCACACTCTCCTCTGCTTACGGTGGCGGAGACTGATGAGGTGAATTCTTACATAAATATCCAAAGCATATGCATGCTGGTCATGAGAACCGATGTAAAGGAGTCCTGTGGTTGGGTCCATGGTTGCAGAGCTTTTGACGGCATCCTGGGTGGTAAATACCCAGTGTTTTTCTCCACTATTACTTCTCAGAACGTAAATTAACCCATTATAACAGCCTGTAGGGAAATTAAATATAAAAAACGAGACTTAGATATGTCACTGAAAAACAATATTTTTTTTTAATTGTACTTTAGGTGAAGGTTTACAGAGCAAACTAGCTTCTCATTAAACAATTAACATACATATTGTTTTGTGACATTGGTTGCCAACTCCATGACATGTCAACACTCTCCCTTTTCAACCTTGGGTTCCCGTTTACCAGCTTTCCTGTCCCCTCCTGCCTTTTCATCCTTGCCCCTGAGCTGGTGTGCCCATTTAGTCTTGTTTTGTTTTATGGGCATCTCTAATCTTTGGCTGAAGGGTGAACCTCAGGAGTGACTTCATTACTGAGCAAAAAGGGTGTCCAGGGGCCATACTCTGGTGGTTTCTCCAGTATCTGTCAGACCAGTTTGTCTGCTTTTTTTTTTTTTGTGAGTTAGAATTTTGTTCTACATTTTTCTCCAGCCCTATCCAGGACCCTCTGTTGTGATCCCTGTCAGAGCAGTCAGTGGTGGTAGCCAGACACCACCTAGTTGTACTGGACTCAGTCTGGTGGAGGCTGTGGTACTTGTGGTCCATTAATCCTTTGGACTAATTTTGAAAAACAATTCTTTAGCCTACGTCATGGCAATTTATATTTGATTCTCTGCAGGTATACCTGGACTCCTATGTTCAGCTCATCTGCTTTAAATTTCAGCAATGTAAAGCAGAAACTGAACAATAACGACTTGTGTAAAATACCTATTTACTTGGTATGGTACACCTTATTTTTGAGAAGTACTATGAAGTGCTTCATTACCAAGAAAACAATGAGACGTGCTGCAGCGGAGAGAAGCCTGACAGACCTGGATGCAAATCTCATCACGGCCATCATTACCAAGCATCACTGAGCATCAGTTTATTCTTCTGCAGAATGCAGACACATCTACTTCAACAGTTATTGTGCGAATTAAGATAATGTGGATAAATGTCCAGTGCATAGGTGTTCAAGAAATGCTAACTTATTAACAATGGCTTAAATTTAGTGAGCTCCAAAGACTGTGCTCTTAACAACTTTGTAAACTGCCTTTCTCAAACTGCTGCTATGGATGAGAAGACAAGGCAGGAGTCTCTGACGTCGGGTGGCCAAAATAACCTCGTTAGAAGGAGCAGTGGTCAAAATCTACAACGTGGAGATCACTCACATTCCCTGAAGTTCATGTAAATCAGTGGAAGTGGAGCTTGGGGATAGCTACTAGGGCTAGATCTAGACTCTGCCTGCGGTCACTGCCATTGCTGCTCACTTGAGGCTCAATATCCAGGATACTTTCTGTGCTGTCTTTTTTCTGGCAGTTACTGCTTAATAGCAAGACAGCAGCAGCATGCTGAGTGATGGGGAAGAGAAATGTCCTACACAGGAAAACCTCCCAGGACTCAGGTAGGCAATACATTTCTTTCAGCTCATTTCAATTAAAAAATCCTACCGCTAGGTGGGGCCAAGATGGCAGAGTAGTCAGATGCTTCCTGTGGTCCCTCTTACAATAAAGACCCGAAAAAACAAGTGAATCAATTATATATGACAATCTAGGAGCTCTGAGCATCAAAGGCAAAGTTGAGAAATAGGACTGAGCGGCAGGGGAGGGAGAGAAGGTTCAGAAACATCAGGCCGGACTGGCTCACATACACGGTGAGGCAAGCAGTGGTACTCGGGATGCATTTTCCACATCAGGAGGGACGCAGCGGCAGAGAGTCTACTCGGGGATCCAGAACCAGTGAGAAGCAGTGCTCAATCAGAGAAATAGAAGTGCTTGTGTCTGGCCTAACGCACGGATCAAAAAACACCCCCTTAAGGAAAAAACCCTCTCCCATTGACCTCTCCCTTCCCCATTCTGCACCGGGTCCCGGGTCGGCTTCAGCGATTGCCAATCCCCCTGGGCCGGAAGTAGGACCTGTCATGTGCCCTGAGCCATTCTCCCGGCCTTGGAGAAGGAACAAATTAATGAACAGTGGAAAAAATAATCTGCCTGCTCCCCTAAGCCAGGAACTCAGCTCCTTTGTCTAGGCACAGTTATCAGGGGTCCACGGACTTTGAATGACTTCCACCCCTGCACAGACCTGTGTGGGCCCATTTCAACAGCATAGGCCCTCATTACCACAGTACAACAGGGTATATACCTGAAGTCTAACTTCAACTGTTTCAGCTATATGGTGAAGTGGCAAGTTTGTGACACCTGACACTGCCCATTAAGCACGGTCCTCACCTACCCACATCAGGAGCCTGAGGACTGGTGGCTCCACCCACGCCACCTAGCCACCCGTGACAGGGGTCCAACAATAAGCAGTGCCCCCTACCTAGTCCTTATAGCCAACAGCACTGGGTGCTCATAGTCCAGCTGCAAAACCCACCCACCTATGCATCAAGGGAACAGGGACACGCTTTCCTCCCAGACACTGAGGGGCAGCCGTCAGCCTCCTGCCTTGCTCAGTGTATGGCCCTCTACTGCAGCCAGATATCTGTGCCTATACCCATCACCCATGCCTGTCTACGACTGTAGGTGACAGCTTTCACCACACACACTTGGTGACCAACTACCTGGACACCTGAGCTGAAATCATACAAGAAAAGTAAACAGACACCTGGACTCACATGCCTAGTAACAGCTCTAACCACATGGTGACAGGACCTTAGAGCTTCAAAGGCGCCAATAATCAAACTAGCTCACCCGAGCAGCCTATTTGGGCATATCAAAACAAGACAAAACAAGAAGGCAGGGCACAGTAAGCAAACATTAAAATAAATAAATATAATAACTTACTGATGGCTCGGAGACAACAGTCAACATCAAATCACATAAAGAAGCAGATCATGATGGCTTTAGCAAGCTCTCAAAATAAAGAATCAAGAAATTTTCCAGAGGAAGAGCATTTCTTGGAATTACCAAAGGTAGAAAACAAAAGATTAATATACAGAACTCTTCAAGAGATCAGGAAGATCAGGTAAAATGCAGAACAAGCGAAAGAACACACAGACAAAGCAACAGAGGATCTTAAGAAGGTCATTCAAGAGCATAATGACAAATTTAATAGGCTGCAAGAATCCACAGACAGACAGCAGTCGAAATCCAGAAGATTAACAATAAAATTTTAGAATTAGACAACTCAACAGAAAGTCACGGGAGCAGAATTGAGGCAGTGGAAGTCAGAATTAGTCAGACTGAAGATAAAGCACTTGACACCAACTTAACTGAGGAAAATCAGATGAAAGAATTTTAAAAAAAATGAAACTCTAAGAATTATGCGGGACTCTATCAAGAGGAATAACCTATGAGTAACTGCAGTACCAAAACTGGGGGATAACAGAAAATAAAGAAAGAATTATTGAAGACTTGTTGGCAGAAAACTTCCCTGATATCATGAAAGATGAGAAGTTATCTATATAAGATGCTCATCGAACCCCACATAAGGTAGATCCCAAAAGAAAGTCACCAAGACATTTTATAATCAAACTTGCCAAAACCAAAGATAAAGAGAGAATTTTAAGAGCAGCTAGGGATAAACGAAAAGTCATTTACAAAGGAGAGTCAATAAGACTAACCTTGGACTACTCAGCAGAAACTATGCAGGCAAGAAGGCAATGGGATGACACATATAAAACCCTGAAGGAAAAAAACTGCCAGCCAAGAATTATACATCCAGCAAAACTGTCTCTCAAATATAATGGTGAAATTAGGGCATTTCCAGATAAACAGAAGTTTAGGGAATTTGTAAAAACCAAATGAAAATTACAAGAAACACTAAACGGAGTCCTCCGGTTAGAAAATCAGTTAACATCAGATAAGAACCCAAGAGTAGAATGCAGTACAGAGCAACCAGGTATAAACCCAGAGAGGGAAGTCACAAAAATTAATCAAAGCTAAAACGCTGAAAATAGGGAAACAGAGTTGTCAATATGTAAAAGATGACATTAAAACAAAAAAGAGGGACTAAAAAATGTAGTCATAGATTTTTCATATGGAGATGAAATCAGGCAATATAAAGAAATAAAAGACTGGAAAAACAACTCAGCACAGAAAATTAAATGGAAGAAAGAAACTGTGAACAACATACAAAAAAAGACATCAAAATGAGAGCAGTAAACTCATACCTACCAATAATTACGCTGAATGTAAATGGACTAAATGCACCAATAAAGAGACACAGAGTGGTAAACTGGATAAAAAAAACACAATCCGTCTATATGCTGCCTACAAGAGACACACCTTAGACGTAATGACACACGCAAGCTAAAACTCAAAGGATGGAAAAAAATGTATCAGGCAAACAAGACTCAAAAAACAGCAGGAGTGGCAATATTAATCCCTGACAAAACAGACTTTAAAGGAAAATCCACTACAAAAGATAAGGAAGGACACTATATAATGATTAAAGGGTCAACACACCAGGAGGACATAACTATAATAAATATTTATGTACCCAATGACAGGACTCCAAAATACATAAAACAAACCCTAACAGCATTGAAAAGAGAGAGAGATAGCTCCACAATAATAGTAGGAGACTTCAAGACACCACTTTCAGTGAAGGACAGAACATCCAGAAAAAAGCTCAATAAAGACATGGAAGATCTAAATGCCACAATCAACCAAATGGATCTCATGGACATACACTGAACACTCCACCCAACTGCAGCCAAGTATACTTTCTTTTCCAACGCACACAGAATATTCTCCAGAATAGATCACATATTAGGCCATAAAGCAAGCCTTAACAGAATCCAAAGCATCGAAATATTACAAAGCATCTTTTCTGACCATAAAGCCATAAAAGTAGAAATCAATAACAGAAAAAGCAAGGGAAAAAAATCAAACACATGGAAACTGAACACCTTGCTCAAAAACTACTGGGTTATAGAAGAAATTAAGGATGGAATAAAGAAATTCATAGAATCAAATGAGAATGAAAACACATCCTACCAGAACCTTTGGGACACAGCAAAAGCAGTGCTCAGAGGTCAGTTTACAGCAATAAATGCAAACAT